TAAATAAGATCCTGGGAGGTCTTGATTAAACAAATACTGGGAGGATGATTCCTCATTTAGGGAAGACTAGAGTGCAATAAGGCAGCTTAAGAATAAGAAGCTCCCTTTAAGATGAAGATTAAGAGCATTTTTAATCCTCTGAGGATTGTTAGTATCTGGAATTCCCTTCTCCAGAAAGCAGTCGAGAATTAGTCACTGACTTTATTCGAGGTGAAGTTAGATTTTTGCTAGACAAAGGAGACTAGGGTTATTGGTAGATGGGGTCAGCAAACAAGAAAGTGGTTTTGACACCCCAGTTAGATATAACTCGTAAATTGCACAGCAGATTAAAAGGGCCAAAAGGCCTAGTCTTGGTCCTAAGCCCTATGTGCGTATGAGTTCAGTCTTCCCTATTGCTATCATATTTCAAAATACTTACTCTAAGGAATGGTCTTGCTCTTCTCAGACTGGCGTAACTATGGATTGACCATTGAATGAAACATTGAACAAAGTGGAGTGACAGACCCTGGATAATGGGGTCTAGCTGCTTCAAAGTCAGTTTGTTGACTTGCTTGCCGAGCTGGTTTATTTTCATTCGGACGTTTCAGCACCATGCTAAGTAACATCATCAGTGAGGCCTCTGATGAAGCGATGTTGTTCTACTCCACTTGCAATTTATACTGTCCGGTCTGTAATGGTGAGTAGTGTCATTTCCGGTCTCCATATACAAACCCATATAGAACAAAAACCGGAAATGACAGTATTCACCACAACGGACCAGATAGTATAAATTCCAAGTGGAGTAGAACAACATCGCTTCATAGGAGGCCTCACTGATGATGTCACCCTAGCATGGTGACGAAACGTCTGAACAAGAACAAGCCAGCTCAGCGAGCAAGACAACAACCTCACCCACAACTCGAGCTCCAAATCTTTACTAAAACTTTAAACTTCAAAGTCAATTTGTATTCAAATTGATTAACTCAAGATTAACATCAGTGAAGCAAGATTTTGGATTTTCATTGCTACCATTAAGGAGCGTGAATCTACTGTCATTTGTTGAATCTTCTTATGTTAAAAAAACAAGGGTAGTGCTGTTTTCTGTATCTTCAAAATGTATAGAGATAGTAGGAACTGCAGATGCTGGAGAATCTGAGACAACAAGGTGCAGGGCTGGATGAACTCAGCAGGCCAAGCAATGTATAGTTTGCTTAGAGGCTCCGATAGTCTAGTGTGTACAAGGGTAGCCTCTTGGGCTAAGAAGGAGACTCTTGTAAGGTAAGCCAGATGTAGTTTATTGCATCTTTGCAATTATTTATAGGTTATAATAGGCTCTACACTACTATAAACATTGTTGGGAGGGCCTGGTTTTAGGCCTGTTTTCCAGAGAATCCTACTTTACTCCACCCAAGTCCTCATGCCATCATTGCAATGGGTATTGTTTCTTGTACTCAATCAAGTATTAACACTTTCAGACCCATAAATATCCAAGTATATTTTTCTGATAGATATTGTTATACATTTATTATATGATGCATTTACCACTACCCCATCTCTTTCAAGCGTTTTTACAAATTCAAACAATCTGGAGGTTTCGTTATTCTCCCCGAACCTGTTTTCTTTGGAATGGGAAAAATGGTTGTTGATTTGTTTGGACACTCTTATTCTGGTTCAGAATTCTTCTTTGGAAAGTTGGAAGATCAAATTTCTACTTGAACTTGTCCCTTCCTAGTTATCTCAGTACCTAATATGTGACTTGAATTTGTCATAACTAGTTGTAATTGTATTGTAATCTGTCTCAATTCATTTGGTTAATGCTTCAGTTGCCTTAAGAAATATATTGTTAGTTGCTGCTTCTTTGCTTGCCATTTCTTCTCTATGTTGGTTGGTACAAGAGTCTGAATTTTCTTCATTTTTGTTCTCAGTCAAAATTATTTCCATCTAATTAGTAATGTCACAGATTTCCATATTATCAATTGTATAAAACAAAGTAATTAGCCTCTGAGGATTCTGCTTTCCCACCAAGAGCTTAAGGAGCCTTGAAACATCAGCTGCCAGCTGCTCCTTAACCCTCTGTTTAACACCTTCCAGCTTTTAAATGAGATTAGGGTCAATACAGACTTTCAAATCAGAAGTGAGTGCCTGGTTGTGAATGCAAGTTTTCCAATATTCAGTATCATTCATGTTGGAGAGTTGCTTATAGCATACCATTAAGATAGTGTGGTGACCCCTAGACCACATCATTGAACATCTGTTGGCTGTAAACAGTGTTTTGTCACCCAAGGCTCAGTATCTGATAATAATATGATATTTGTGATATGATCTAACTTTGTATTCCTGAGTTGCCGATTGATGTAAATGTCCACTTGCCAAAATGCTTGGTCTAGATCATTAATTTCCCTAACTCTTTGGGTCTGTCTTCTAATGGAAGCTGTTCTACCTCATTTACCTCTTCTGTGCATAGTTCTTTGCTTTTTAGCTTTTCTGTATTCTGCTCCGGCCCATTTTATGATGCAGAGGTGCCGATGTTGGACAAGGTCAAAAATCACATGACACCAGGTTACAGTCCAGCAGGTTTAATTGAATGTACAAGCTTTTGGAGTGTGCCCCTTCCTCAGGTGTAATGAGAGAGAAAGTATCAAGATACAATTTATAATTAAAAGATCAAAGGATTATACAGCTAATACAGATGTATTTAATAACTCTAAATTGGCTGGCTGACTACCTCCATCAGTTGTATGATCCTTTGATCATTTACTTATAAATTCTGTGCCTTGATACTTCCTCTCTCATTACACTTGAGGAAGGGGCAATGCTCTGAAAGCTTGTGTGTTCAATTAAACCTGTTGGACTATAACAAAAATAAAGTTGCTGGAAAAGATCAGCAGGTCTGACAGCATCTGTGAAGGAAAAAGCAGTTAACGTTTCGCGTCTGGTGACCCTCAGAACTGAGCTGTTACAGTCCGACAGAACTACTGGACTATAACTTGGGCTTGTGTGACTTTTGACCTTTTTCCCATTTTCTGAAAGTGGTGTGTTGATTTAAAATTAAACTTTTCGTTTGAATAGCTGATGTCTTTCTTACCTGCTGCATGGGGTTATCATGTGCCTCTTTTGTGGTTCTGTACCTTAAGAATTGAATGGATTCTAAAGATCTCCTGCACCAAGTTTGATCTTCTCCCCTTAGGATTAGTCAGTGTTTATTCTGGACCTCTGCTTCAGTTACCCCTGCATGGATTCTCTATGGGCATCTATGGATTGCAATAAATCTCAGACTGTTGGAATGACCTAGGCTTTGGTGTTTCTTCTCAAATCCTACTTCACTCTTTCCCCTCCTCACAACATGTGGCTCAGTCACTATTTAAATATATCTTTAGGCGACGTGGTTATGGTTTATAACTCTAGACTATCACTCTATAATAGAATAGGAGCTGAGGATGTAAAGTTCTCAGGTGCCATCTTACTTGGAATCACTTGAAGTATGATACATCATTGAAAGACTGGTGCTCTGAATAGCCTAATGAGACTAGACACTAATTGTGCTGTGTTCATCCAGCTCTACACCTTGTTATCTCGGATTCTCCAACATTGCCAGTTCCCACTATCTCTGTAACAAATGTTAATTGTTTCAATACCACATATCCACATCTAGCTTGTGAGGAATAACGAGCATTGTTCCATCCAGTAAAATATCCCTATTGCAGCCAAACCCACCATCTTTCTGCTAATTGCACTCAATCGAGGATTGATCCTTTGTGACACATCTGCAACAAGAGAAGCCTGTTTCCCAGACCTAAGGGAAAGTTCACCTGGATAAGAAAGGAAAGAGGCGAGAATGGAATAGATGAAATAGTGCAAAAGGAAATCAAAGGGATAGGTCTAGTATTCAGGATTGTGGTGCCTGGATTCTGAAAGTTGGGGGGGGGGGGCGTCGGGAGGATTAGTCGATGGAATAACATTCCATCGACCGATTTGAACAACGGGATTAAATTGAAGGAAGTGAAATAAGTGATCTCATTCAATAATTAATTTCGGGCAAACACCCATGCTTCATGAAGACCTCATTTAAAGAGAAACTTTTCACCACGATTACAGTAAATGGGACAATGTTGAGTTTGTGGCTGTTGGTGTCTGTGAGCGGTCTCCGCAGGAGAGTCATTTTGTTTTTCACCTCATTTGGGATAGCCAAGCCCAGGTCCTACTCACTCCCCGGGCACCTTCCTCCTATCGCTTACAGAAGGGCACCCCCTTAAGAACATGGAACATCCGCCAAGACCTGCCGCAGTGTTTTGTCCCTGTCAGCTCGGGAGCCCTGCTGAAAAACAAGGTGGTTTCGAGCGCTGCGAAGGTGCAAATGGAAACACGGAGATAAACTGGAGGGGTGTGTGTGTAAAAGAGGAACAAGAGCTGGTGACAGAGACAGAAGGATCCATGCACCGAGCTCTCTAAAACATGCTGAGGACAGTCTTCCTCTGCTCAATGCTGCCCTCTGGCTTCCTCTGCGGGTAAAATCCCACAAGCCGCGAGTACATCGAGGAGGGGGACTTGGCATTTCCAAGCCTGGTGCTGAATATCCCAGCCGTCTAATTCACAACATGTTGCGCTGAACACTTTTTTCTTAACAAAAAGTGAACAATAATTAAGCAAAGAAAAAGCAAAAGGAAACAACATGACAGCGCCCTGTGCAGCCGATTGAAGGAAGGGGCTGCAGGGAATTTGCAGAATGGAGGGGATGGGATCTGCCTGTAGTCTCAGGAGCTGACTGCCCTCACGGGGAAAGTTTGAGGAGGGCGGGGGTGGAAAAGAAACTATTCTCCAACCACCACCCCCTCCCCACTCATTCCTCTGAGTTCTCACTAGCAGCAATCCATCAGCCAGGCGTCTCTCTCTCTCTCTCTCTCACACACACACACACACACACACAAAACAGACCCCAAGGGGGAGGGGAAGTGATAAAACACACACACACACTGCCCTGAGCAGAAACAAAAAGCCCAAGTGGAAGCGCCAGGGCACAGCACTGAGCCGGGCGGACAGGCAGCCCCCTCTCTCTCTATAAAACCTCCCTCCAGATCCCATGCTCAGTGACAGTCGGAGGCAAACACCAATCGGTGATGACCGAGCAGCCCTGACACCGGCGGATGTTTGCAGCGTTTCTCTGGTGGGGGGGGGGGCTCACTGTGTCCTGAGGTTCCTGCACAAGTGCCCCTGGCTCTGTCACCCGCTCCGGGACGGACAGAGGGAGGCGCACGACACTGCCGCCTGGGCCCTGGAGGAGGCAGGGAGCAAAGCCAGCAACATCCAGTGAAGTGTCCGGGGAATGGCCGGGACTGCTAGCACTTTCAGGAACCTCCGGCGGTGCACGGCATCGTGGAGAGGCTTGCAGGCGACTTTCTTTCTGCTCTATTTAATCCCCCTGGTGTGCACTTCGTGGGGCATCGGATTCCAGTACAAATACCCTCCGGGATTGCAAAGCAGCAAGGACCAGCTCGGAGGTGTCAGCAATGGCTTTCTCAGCCGCAGGTAAACCGCCTGGGTTTTTTTTTGGGTGTTAATCCATAGGACACGAGTAACCTTTACCCGAGAGGAGGGGGAGAGGACACACAAGGCTGCCTGTGACTTGTTGCAGAGCGGTCAGTGCTGCTGGTGGATAGTTTGTGTAAGGGAACACAAATAGCTCACTGCGTGGAGATACGTTCAGGATTCCCCCTGACATCGGTTTGATTTTCTGCATCAGAAATCCGCTCCTCACTTCAAACAGTCCGACCTTCCCAAATAGTTCACTGCATGACCCCTTTAAACGCTTTGTTTGATAACATTAAGGCGTTAGTCCACATTTAAAACTCTGATTCAAAATAGCTGCCCGGAACACGTGTTGAGACTGACATTTTTTTTAAAAAAAATGTTTTCTTCATAAAGAAGAGCAGTGCAGCATTTAAAGACCCACTGGGTTTCCTGATGCAGTTTCAGCAGTGTAGGAATCTCTTGGCGTTGCTGTGAGTTTGGCAATGGGATTTGTTTGAAATGGGCACAGCTTGTCAGGGGATTGATTTGTTAGTTTGCTTGCTGTCTCCTCTCGAATCTCCAATGCTTGGTGCAGGCAGCCGCCGGTGTGTGAGCCAGTGATGTGGGCACCAGCATTTCATGGCCAAGTCCCTCTGTGCCAGGCATGGCTTGTGTGAACTGAGACCATTCTGTGTCTTTAGACATTATCATTACTTGGCTGCCACCATGGTGGAACCCGGGTGATTTGTAATATTGGATCACACCTAGTTTACGAATGTGTGTGTTTTCTCGAAGACCTAACCAAAGTCCTAACTAACTTCCTTTTCCTACCGCATTTCCTGGCCAAGCACTTTGACAGGATGGTGAGGTTAAATGACCTGTTCGGTCATACAGTGACAATGGCTGTCTGCCTCTCCTACACAAAGCGTCAGGACAAAGGACAAGTTTGAAGCGGAACAGCCGAGCCAGCCCCGTTGTGAGTTGAAAGAAGCAGGGTTGGGAGTGCTTGGCCCTCCAGTAAGCCGAGAACGCCGCCTCCCTCCTTCCCAAGAAATCTCCGCAGCACCGAGCCAGAAGGCTCAGGCTGGTGTCCCATTCACCCGCCTCCCCAGGCTCTCGCTGGCTCTGATTGCAGGGAGAATTCCAGCAGCTTTGATAGCCTCGGGAAACGAAAGAGAATGCAAACGGAAAACTCACAGCTTCATTGATAATGCTGAAATCCCCCCTCTGTAGTCTGGTCAATTCTGATCGTTTCTGCACCTGAGTCGGGTGCAACATTATAGGTTTTTAATCGCATGTTAAAATTGATTGAAAAGTGCATCAACACTGATCTTTTTCCACCGTATGAAACTGCTGTGGTTTACTTGACTGGACCACCCCTCATTCCCAGTGTCTGGGTAAGGCTGCACTGAGGGTCCAGCCTTGGTTATAAATAGGAATACAACTGTGGGGTTACAGCGGCGTGAGTTTCTGTCTGCCCTGATAAACTATCTGCCACACTGCATCAGCACGCCAGAGGGGCTGCACTTCAGCTTCAGCAATCACCAACTTGTACATTCACTCCCCACCCCCATAACCGATTCATGGCTGGCTGTACCATTCACAAGATGCACTGCAGAAAACATCCACATCACCTTCCAAATCCGCAAGCTCCAGCACCTACAGGGGAAGCAGATGCAGGGAAACGTCAGCGCCCAGAAAACGCCCTCCAAACTTCTCACTCGGAAGCACAACACCTTTCCTTGAGTGTGGCTGGGACAAATACCCTCCCCAGCAGTACTGGGGCAGTCCTTACAACCCCCACTGCAGCGGTTTAAAAAGGTAGTGTATCACCACCACCTTCTCCAGGGCAATTAGGGATGGGAAACAAATGCTGGCCTAGCCCACACCCTTTAAACTAATAATAAAGTTTGTATATTTTAAACCAACCTGTTCAAAGATGTTATTCCACACCTCTGGAGCAGGTGGGACTCAAAGTCAGGCCTCTTGGCTCAGGGGGAGGGACATTATCATTATACCATAGGAACCCTAAAGGTCAGTTTTAAAATATTTTCTATATCAACCTGCTCAGAGATGTGGTTACAGACTGCTGCAGCAAGTGGAATTAGAACCTAGGCCTCCTATGTCGGAGGTAAGGGCACTACCACTGCACCACAAGAGCTCCTGGGTTCAATTTTAAATGAATTCCTTGTTAAGGTTGTAGACTTGCTCGCCGAGCTGGTGTGTTTGACTGCAAACGTTTTGTCACCCTGCTAGGTAACTTTGTCAGTGCGCCTCCAGTGA